CTTATCATCATTCATATTAAACACCACATCCCTAACTTCATCCTCCTCAAATGGTCTCTCAACCCAACTAGCATCCTCTTCAGTGATAGTGAAGAAATCTAGTCCCTCCAGCTCAGGTCTCCACGCAAACTGCTCCCGATAGAGATTCTGATAAAATCGCACCTGCTGAGTCACAATATCATGTGGGTCCTCGTGCGTAACCCCATCAACCTCCAACAAAGTAATAGAGTTATTGCGCCGGTTGGAATTGGCGACTCGATGAAAGAACTTTGTGCATTTGTCACCCTCCTTCAACCACAAAACCCTAGACTTCTGTCTCCACGCGATCTCCTCCATCTCCACCAATCTCTCCAGCTCTCCCCTTAACCTTCCACGCCTCTCCCTTTCCTCCCCATCCAGCCCTCGACTCTCCTCCTGCCTATCCAACTCTCCTATGTCTGACAAACACTGATTCTTACGAACATCTATGTCTCCCACCACCTCCCCATTCCACTTCTTTAAATCCCCTTTCAAGGCCTTTAATTTCTGATGTAAAACATAACTAGGGGACCCCCTGAAATGATAAGAGGCCCACCAAGTCCGAACTCGCTCCCCAAAACCCTCAACTTTCAGCCACATCTTCTCAAACCTAAAAGGTCTTCTTCCACTACCCCTTCCAATCCCAGATAACGAAATAGGAAAATGGTCCGAGTATACTCTCCCCAATCTCGTCTGAGTGACATCAGCGTACTTAGCCTCCCACTCACCACTAATCAAGAATCTATCAATCCGCGATTGAACAGGTTGATCGCGATTAGATGACCAAGTAAACTCTCCCCCATCATAGGCAAGTCCACCAACATATTTTCACTAATAAAATCAGAAAAATCCTCCATGGCCCCTGTTAATCTCCCTCCACTCGACTTCTCAGAAGGAAACCTGACAACATTAAAATCACCCCCAATGCACACTGGTAAGTTCCACCAAGCCATCATACCAGCCAGTTCATCCCACATGCCCCTTCTATCCACATCTGAGTTTGGCCCATAAACTCCAATAAACATCCACTTAAATCTATCCCCAACATTACTAAAGGAAAGTGATAGAGAAATAACCCTACACTAGCCTCCTCTATTTCAAACATTCTACTGTCCCACATAATAAGCACGCCTCCTGATGCCCCTGAAGCTCCAAGAAACTGATACCCTTAAATAAATAATAGAAACAGAAATTATTTTTATATGCATGTGCATTGCACACATGCAAACAAGTATTTACCATGGTCATAATTGCTGTTTCACATTATTTGCACAATATTCAATCAGTAGTATTCTGGCCTATATCTTCATTTATGGTCTCTAATCTAGTTTTGATATAAGATCTAACATGTGAGCCAGAGGCTTATTTTTTGACACAAGCTCCAGCAGTGACAATGCAACTATAGTTCTTAATCAGTAAGTTACATGTTTTGAACTATGCTACTCGCCTCTCGTATTATTTCGAGAATAATTATAATTGAAATAAAAGTGTTGAAAACAAAAAATCATGACTTCTCCATTAGATCTATATGGTGTGTATAATAATAACTAAAACATATTTTTAATCACGAGGATAAGATACACAAAATATCAAAAACTTATAATATATCTTGAGATTGATTATTCAGCTCAATAAGCAACTAAAGTTGCTCAAGCTTGATTTTTTGTCAAGTAAAATAAGCCCAAGCAGGAGCATCTAAAAAGTGCATCAGTTCATTTCATTCTTATCACGGCGTATGTTCTAAAGACTTTGAAACTTCAGTGAATGAATAAATTGTTAAATAATGAGCTTGTTTGATCAACATAAATTTGTTAGTGGTACTAGGAATTTTCCTTTTAGGAGGTTGGTTGAAGACAAACCAGTCTAATGATTCATTACCTTTGCAGAATATAAAATCACATCTTCTTTGTTCAACTTGAGAGAATGACTACTTCCATGGGATGCAAGATTCAATGCAGCACGTGGTTCTGCCTGATACAATAGAACACGCGGTCACATGCTAGTCTCAACATATTGAAATAATCACAGTTGTAAAAAAGCAATTGGAGAAGGTAATAGAATGTCATTAAAGTACATGATATGATAGAATGCTTCATGGTAACTTACTTGAGAACCAGTGGTGACAATAAGCAAATCCTTTGGGGCGTAGGCATCAATATCTTCCACTTTCACCTGTACGCAAGGAGCTATATAAGGACAAGTACAGAAATGGTAATAGAATGTCATTAAAGGACATGATATGGAGGAGGAAGCAGCCCGGGCAAGCCACAGGTAGCAGTGAGGCAACCAAGGCAGCCAACTAAATCAGTTCAAAGTCAGTCAGTTAGCAAGGGTAAATTGGGGAGTTGAGTCTTGGAAGGGAGAATGCGAATAAATGTGATGGGTGGGGGTGGGGGGGCTTGAAGGGATTCATTCACGTTTTAGTTGAGTCAGTCAGGAGAGATCCAGGCCTCTCGAAATGCCTTGGGGTTGTTAGATCAATTTTCCTTTCCATTGAATAATAACTACAGTTCTCTGTTCTACAAACTTCAATTTCAGCAAATCCATTAATACATTACAACAGCTCTACTACATTCATTCTTTTCCTTCTATTAATTATTTTCTGTTGGATTCAGCAGATTCATAAAGCACTATCAGCAGCAGCTAAGGCCCTCACCATATCACCAGCAGCAGTCAGGTATCTATCATATTGACCACCCGAACACTCAAAGCTTCCTTTCAAGGGTAAGATGAGAAAGGGGAAACAGTGTAGACAACAAATGCCGTGAACCCCAGACCATGTTAATGAAATAGAAAAAAAAAATGGTAGAAGTCTACATTAGAAAACTTTATTCTGCATGTGCAGGCATCAAGGATGAATACTTGAAGTGTTTAAACTTTCGATACATCAAATGCTTCAAGACACTTCTCCTGAATAAAGGTTATCGATTGGAAAAAGAATTATTCCATGGATGCCATCTTTTACAACTACATTAGTTTAAGACATGTTGTAGAAAGCTGTAAAAGATTCCTTCCTGATGATGTGAAAATCAAACACGTAAAATATTCCTTGCTCATTTTTTGCTGATCAGAAGGCTAGACTTTTGCATATTAGCTGGAGATTTTTCCAATCATTAGCTGTATTATTAACGGTATATTTTTCTATTTTAGATAGATGATAAATTAGGGATATATTCTATTATTAGTCTCCTAGAATCGTGCTTCAGCCGACTCTGTAATTGACTATAAAGCTAGATATCTACTATACATTTTTTCAGAAGTCAATGAGAATTATCTAATCTTCCACAAATCTGATTTATTAACTATTACTTTTACATGGATAAAATGCTAAATTTAACTGCTAAGATCTTAACACTTTTTTCTCTCTCCAACTTGCAAGAAAGAAGACTATAAGCATAACATAGTAACCTAATTAAATCCCATTGAGTAGAGAAAAACATCAAATATGATGGGGGTCGGAAGTAATTACCAGAGTTGATGGATCAATGGGTGCCTTTCCATCTTTCCATGCAGCATCTAGATATGTCCTTAATGACATGCCGACAAATACCTAATACAGTAACAACCAAGTTATGTGTCTCTTGAAGTTTCGAGATGACTCTTCTAAACGAAGATTGACATTACAAGTCACAAAACTAGAAAGCATACCAATTTTCTGCCAGTCAAATCAGCTGCAGCTTTCACACTTCCAAGACGATGAATATTTGATGCAAACTGAGTAGTAATAACTCTTCCTTTGCAAGTTGAAATATTCCTCAACAAGGAATCTGCAACAACTGTCTCACTAATTGTCCTTCCTGGTGAGAGTATATTTGTTGAATCGCTCATCATCTGAAAATTAAAATTGTAATTATTGAAATGCATTTTGTGCTCAGAAGAAGATTTCAATAGTGGATAGAAATCCACAATATATCACAGTTTAGAAAAATATGATGGTCAACAATTAATGTTCCACCTAGGTAATTATTATACCTAAAACAACTTATGATCTTCAAGCTTGGGACCATTAAGAAGAGAAGTATGAGTGACATAGTTCATGCTTCTCGACGCTATAACCACTTCTAGCATTACATATTAAGCCTTTTCTCCTTCATTTCCCTGTTTACTCTGCTCCGGTGACTAGGCCATGTCGTCAATTTTGAATGCACATTTTAGTTTTTATCAGATAGAATTCCAATTGCTCTTGACGCTCATTTTGAACAATTAAACTTTTTTGCTCATCCTATACAAAGCTCACTAGTGTTTCCTTCACAAACCCTGGCAATCAACTAATTGATCCAAAATATTTAATGCTTAATTTCAGTATCCACCTTATTACACTCAACTTTAGCCAGCCAAGAAGCATGCAGCTTTTGTAGCATAAAGTAGAAATATAGAATGAGGGGCCTTATAATAGTTAAAACTTCTTGCTCATGTTTCTTAAGGTTATCACAAAATATCGGCCAAACATAACATTAGTGGCATGATCCAGTTGCATCCATGTTCCACTAAGATGGAATTTTCCTGTCAACATGTCATAGGGTAAGGTGACTGTTCAAATACCATTTTCATGTATAGATATACGAATAATTCCTAAATCGAGAATAATTGATGTTGAATGGGGATATCGATCAACACGAATTTCAGTGCTCACCAAAGATACTCCTTCTCTTGAGAGTTCTTCTAGGGCATCGCGATCAAAAGTTCTACCATCCAGTGGTGACTCATCTATCTGTCAAAGGAAAATACTTGTGCAGATCATAGATAGATTATAGATATGAAACTAAAGCATATAAAAGCAAAGAAACAAATATATGAAAAATACCTTCCAGTCCCCTGTATGAAGAATAGTACCATCAGCACAGCGTAAAACCAACCCAGAACAATCAGGAATAGAATGTGTGACCGCAATTGGTTCAATTTCAAATGGCCCCGCATCAAATTTTCTCCGTGTCTTAAATACTTTAAGTCTAGATGGGACGAAGATACCAAACTCCTTCAATCGCTTCTTAATAAGCTGTTTAAACAAAAAAGGAAACGGTTATCCACCTTTTACAACAAGCAGCAAAACGTTAAGGTGTTTCCATGATTAGGAACATCAAGAATCTATCAACAATCATGTATGACCTATACCTCAAAAAAGATGGTACAACTGGGGTTACACCCCAATGCATAATTATGTAGAACATTTCCAATATTGTTTCAATTTCCAAAATTTCATTTCTTGTTGGGTAAGACAATAGCTGTTTACTTATTTGGATTTCAAATGCAATGATTGAGTGAGGTAGGGCTTTTCTGAAATCTGGATGTTTGGGAAGTGTATCAATGGTTTAAATTATAAATAGATAGAAATAAGTTGTGGATTAGTGGCTAGTACTTGTGGTCCCTAAAGTAGATTGAGTATTTAAAACAATTTATAAACATGAGCAAAACATATATTTAACATTGTATTAATCATGTCAGGACAGAATAAACAGGGTGTAAAATGGAAACAAGAAATTCAAGTAAATGATCAAACCATAACCACAAACCTCCATTGTGAAGGATGAAGCAAATATTGGCGTATGAGAATCCAGAGCCGGAATGACCTGTTTAAATGGAATCAAACTAGTGAGTACATAATTGATAATTTGAGACTAAAAAGGAAGAATTATGAATTTAAAATGAAACATTAAGAGAAAATTAAAGTTCCACAAGTACTTGTAGCAACCAAAAAAAAAATACTGACAAAAAGAACAGGGAAACTGATATGTCTCTATGCCACATAAAAATGTTGGATTCTGTAATCATGAAAGTCTGAGAATATACGGGCTCAAGAAAATACTCAATGGCATTATTTTACTACATTTCCAAATGGTAAAATTATATTTATAATAACAGGGAGATTGATGCAAAACATCAGACACAGATCCCCTAATATTGTCCAGGTAGTAAGTGTCCAATATGACTAGAAGTTTGGAGAGTCTACCTTAAGAATAGAAGTTACAACAGAAATAGAGACTCTCTCAAGATAAAAGTTAGTTGGAAGTCGTTTGAGGACAAGTTCCCATTACAGGCTTGAAGATGTTATCTTTAATTTATAGCTAGATATTGGAAATTCTTGGATTCTATGTAAATTAAAGAAATGGCAGTAGTATTATTGCTTTTCTATATACAAACTGAAACATCTTAGAAGTGATTGGTTTAGTGCTTAAAAGTTTAATTCATCTTCTTACACAGAGTGAAGGAAACGCCTAAATGGTTAAGTACTTAACTTGATAAAGAGTATTCGATGACATTTAAGTGGTACGGCTTTATAGGATAGGACCAGATAAAAATCAGTTCACTGATTTAAGCACTTCTGGCATTAAAGTGGATCGAGCATAGAATGGTAAATTTCGAATGTGCACAAGTCTCCTGCAGCCAAAGTGATCTTAAATAGAGATACATCACTTGTTAGTTATAACTAAATAAAACTATATTTAGAAAATACACAACACGCTCCCACTCAAAAAATACAGGTGTAGTAGACATATGAGCATGTAGAATATTTCGCATATAATAATAGCATAATATACTCATACAGTATATCATTAATAATGAAAAAAAAATTGTTTGTCTGCATTTTTTCATTATCTGGTAAACTCAATGGTTGAAATTAAATTTCTAACCAAACAATTCTTCATATTGAAAATTTAGTACTTCAATCATCGCTTGCTCAGAAATCAGTCCATGTTTAGTCAGTTTTTAGATTCAGTAACATCAAATGCCCTTATTTGATAACTAAATGAAGATGAGATGTAGCACAAAGTTGAGAAATTTAAAACTTGCACTGTAGTAGCAATACTAAATACTAATCTCCACTAGAATTGTCTTCATATCGCTATATTCTCAAAAAAATTTCTTTGATTCTTTACAGCAACAGCTAGTATGTAATTGCACATCGCCCTAGACTAATTCCAATTATTATAGCCAGAAACTGGACGTCCCCCACCCCCAAAGAGAGACAATGGCGAACACTGAGGAGCTTTCGAGGACCAAATTTTAATTTGTTTTAGTTGTTCAATATGCATCGGAGAGATTCTATTCTAAATAGATTACCATATGATTGACTAATGAATGATGTCAAGGCATCAAAGAAACTTATAGAAGCCTTTCGAAACTGAATATAATATAGGAAGACTTAAAGAGACAAGTGATAAACCCCAAGAATTCCCCACGGTGAGAGGTATGGCCTTGGTCCAATACCACTCAAATGCAGCAGCTGTAGGCTTCCGAGAGCCCCAGCACAAAAACCTCTCCCTTTTCATTCACCATTGCAGGGTGGCCTTGTTTGTTCCCCAAAAACCACTCCTATTGCCCATTTTAGATCCAGTAAAAAGGTAAGAAATGCGCAAAGAGGACTCTATGTCTTCTTTCCACAGAACATTTATACCTCTTCACTTTCTTCAATAAAATGCTTCACGAAGAGAAAGCATGTAAAATAATCTCCCACTGAATTTATATAGTTTATATGTCATTATAAAGAATAAGATTTTCAAGAAACAGATAGAAACTTTACCCAAGGCAACGCACCAATGTGGTCTTCATGACCATGGGTGATAACAACAGCTTCAATTTTGTGGCTCCATTTCTTGATAAATGTGGTATCAGGTATAATCTTCTGGACACCAAGCTCATCGTAGCTGAAGTACATAATCCGCGAGTTAAGAATGAATCAAGGATAGAGGAACTAAATTAACAAAATTATGTACTAGAATGGGAGGAAAATGCATATATCGGTGCATCTTCCAACCCAACTTTCAATTTGGAGTGTCTGACGCAATAGATTATATCAGGCTTGGGAATTTATTCTCATCGACCAGTTTTCATTGTATTAACAACATGCTCTTCAGTATGCTTTTCAAACAGCAATGCTGAAGCAAACAAAGACAAAAGAACTTCTTTACCTAGCAGATACTGATGCTAAACAACAGCTATTGTACTCAACATTTGAAAGATCCAAGTATGCCAAATTTATAAGAACTTACTCTGGAAACATCACACCAGCATCAATCAAAATGTAACGATCATAATTCCCTACAAGCATGCAATTCATCCCAATTTCTCCTAGACCACCAATTGGTAATATTCGTAATGGAGGGCCATGGGACCCTTCATAAAACTGCTCCATCTTGCGTTTAACTGAATCTTCCATGCTCTTTCCAGGTCCTTCTGTTCTTCCAGACCTTCTACGTGGTACTCTGGAGGCACTGGAGCCCCGTGAACCTGCACGGAGCACTAATCAACCATCTAGTCTACAAGTTAATCAACTTACAAAGGTCCAATGGAAAATATACGTACCAAGAAACTACTTTGAAAACCAATTACGCTCCGCATAGAAAAAACGTAATATATCAAATATTTCACGGAAAAAGTAGGAAAATGTTGGAAAAAAACAATTAATAACACTCTCAGAAACTACTCAATGCTAAAAAATTTATTAGTTCATCTTACGTTTCTTATTAAACTAAACAAGATCACCCGAAAGAACAATACTTTTTATGACTTTTCCACTTATTTTTAATTACAATTTAATTACTCCCAAAATGTCTGCATATTGTGACAAGAAAATAAGTTCATAAATTCCCTTTTAGCAAGATGAACAGAAAAAATATCAAGAAAACACAGAGCCCATAAAAAAAATGAACTTTATATGGTACTAGACCATATTCGACAGCAAATAAACAAAATTTTAATTTTTTTTTTTACTGAGGGTGTTGTATTGCATACTCTTTACGGAGAGCGAAGGCGTACAGCAAGAAAAGAAGCATCTTCTAGGTTTTGGTTGACACCACAAAATCTTGTGAGTGCATAGTGAAGTCGCACTCAAAGCAGCCATCCTAATGTATAGATTAGATGCAAATAATGTGGATGTATATCTATATCTTTATCTAAAGCTCAGAAAAATAAAAAAAAGTTTTTAAAAAAAGGAAGCTGTGGTTTGAAATTTAATCCCCGAAAGATGATTTTGTGCGTGTTTGTGAGAAGGATTAAGAGACGGAAGCAAAGAGCAAGAAGATTTTTTTGTGAAGTGAAAGGGTAAAATATCTTTCTTATCCAACGTAAGAGATTATTGTACCAAAATAAAATGCGATATCTTCGTTCGAGGTGAAGTGCGAGTTTAGTTTCTTAAAAATAGTCTTGTTGTTGATGAACTTTGTATCTGTTGATGTGAATCTAGTATATTCCTTTCTATATTCTTTAGATCTCTTCTGAAGTATGATAGTGAACTCTGTATTAAATGAGGTAGTAGTACATTGTTTAAAGTTATAACAAGAAAATTGTGCGATTCTATTTTGATTACACTATCTTCGATGTTATATTTCACTTCTCACGAGTAAAAGATTGTTGAAATGTTTCTTCTCGTATCATATTTCTACACATTAAAATAAATATGGGATTCTCGTGTTGATTAGAAGCTAGAAAAGAAAAAATGACAATATATGAAGAGTACTTAATTATAAGAAAAAACAGAAGAGAAAGCATCCAAAAAGGAGAAGAGAGAGAGAAAAATAATATATTCTCTTATTTCTCAAGTAACCTATTTTAGTGATAAATTATTTAAGAACCTTGAGCTTTGTTAGAGAGATTCTTGTACCTTAGAGATACTTTTGTGTATCGCATTGTAGTTTTAGTGAAAGACTGATTTAGAGTTTGTCTCTGAATCTAAAAATAATATTAAACAACATAAATCTCGTGTTTTGCTCATTATTTCCTTTGTTACTTCCAAAATAGCCAACGAAGTCAATAACATGTACACAAATCAAGAAAGTACAGCAACTTGGATTGATTGAGATGAAAACAGGTGAAATGGCATTGAACATTTACAAGTCTAACAAAGGCCTTGAAGCCATTATGTAAGTTCATATATATAAAAGGAAGACGATTACAAATAATCAACTGGCATATTATGCACCCAAAAAATAAAAAAGAAAGAATTATGAGTTCAAGATCTTTGTTCTCCATCTGCTGTTGATTGAACTTGAGCTGCATACTGCAAGTTCCAAAGAACATCCTCGAAAGATGGACGAGTCGAGAATTCCTGAGAAATGCATTTGTTCGCTATGGATATGATAATCGATAGAGATTCTTGAGAGCAAGACGTGTGTATAGATGGGTCAACTATTCGCCTCTGGCCATCAGGAGTACCTAAAGAAACCTGAAAAATGTAGAAATAAAATTTAGATACTCCCAACAAGTTAAATGCAGATTGGATGGACCAGATTATAAACATAAATTTAGTGTTTGGGTTCGTAAATTGGGGGGAATCAAAGCTGGAAACAATGCAAGGACGAAGAAGGAAAATGAACTTCACTAAAGCATGTTTGGCTAAGCTACAAAATAATAATAATAATAATAATAATAATAATAATAATCATCATCATCATCATCATCTTTTGGAAAGCAAGTACTTAACCAAGCATTTTTGGAAAAAAAAAAAAGTTACTTAAAAAGTGACTTATAAACTATACCAAACATGATCTAACAGATTCTCAATGATGATCCCTTGCAATGAGAAGCAGAGACTTGAAACGAGAATCAAGAACTTTCTACACTTCGTTTTAACCAACGGGTTTCTGTTTTTTCGTTGTTTGTTGATGCAAATACAGGGACAGTTAGCTTTCTAATGCATTCTACGAAGTATACATTGTGTGCTATGCACAAAATCAGTTAAAGTACCATCTCATTAACCAAAAATGCCTCGTTTCTCGCAGAGAACGAAGGACCGATAAGCGACCGGAGTAATATCAATCCAAAGCTATAAACATCATCCTCAAAGCTCTTTATATGCCTGCAAAGGTATCACCATAAAGGAAAAGGTGAACAGCTAATTTCGACACTGTGTAATTCTATTAACCAAGTAAACTAATCTACTCTTGTTTGCAATGACTCGTTGATCTGAGGGAACTCAGTACCATGCTTTAAGGCCTCCTTCTGCCTAACAACCCAAAAAAAAATAAAAAAAATGATAGTTAGTCGCCTACAAGATTTTAACTTTTTTCTTTCTCAATACTGTCTACTGGCATCTAATCTACCTTACCAATCAAGTGCGTTGTTTAAATACATACCTTGTGCTCATCAATCTCTTGGACTACAATTGACAGTCCATAATCACTCAGCTTTCCCATCCAATGCTCATTCAGCAATATATTGTTCGCCTTCAATCGATTATTGAAGAAACCAGGAATAATTCCAGTGTGAAGAAAATGTACAGCCTTGGCAACACCAATCAGAATTGCCAGTCTGTCGGACCATTTGAGTACCTTCTCGGGATTAGTTTCTGCATAGATAATAGAGCAAGATTCAATCGGGAAACATATAACACCAATATCTGCCTTTATTTTTTTTCAGTTAAAAGATTTGAAATATTTATACGTTTGTAATCACAGACATCTAAAACAAACTTCTTTTATAGCGCTATCCTCACCCAAAAGACGAGCTTGATAATTTCCATTGGGTACATATTCGTATAAGAGGTAGACATTGTTTACACCAGATTCATCCTTTCCTTCATTCTGGATGCAGTGCCCCAAGAGGCAAACTAAATGAGGATGCTGGAGCTTAGCCAACAAATCGAGTCTTAGTTTGAGATTTCGAATTGTAAATCTTTTTGATACAGTTAGGCACCGTATAGCTACTTGAGTCCCGTTTTCCAGTCTTCCTTTGTACATCTGAGAAGGAAACCATGAGTTACACAAGTCCAAAGGCCAATGTGTCTGATATACTAATGATATATTAAATGTTTCTTTCATTTTGAAGGTGCCATTTTTCATTGCCGTAACACATAGTGCATGATTGGTGTGTAGTATTTTACAGCAGTGCAGACTATAATACATAAGATTTTGGCGTCTTTTTGTTCGTTATTAATGTCCAGCACGGAACATTCCACCTTGCCAAATAAGCCACTAAATCATAACTATGAAAATAGCAGTAAGAGAAGTTTATACCTTTCCAGTCGAACCTTCACCCATCAAGGTGGACTTATCAAAATTATTCGTGGCAGCCTTTAGCTCATTTAATGAAAACAGGCGATGAGCGGGTGTACCTTGTGAGCGTAACTTTGCTGCATCAGAGATAAACCCTGATGGAACAAAAGCAGAAGCTTAAATAGGCTCATCAAGTACAACAAAATGCAGATATCAAGAGTGATAACTTACTAGCGTTTGTTAAAAGCTCGGAAGTGAACCCCGTGACAGAGTTATCTTGCACTGAATTATGCAATAAATGCTGCTCCGATGTCCGTCGAGGACAATATTGTCGACACAAAACAAGAAATCCATAGGCCAAAAGCCCCATAATAACAATAACTCCACTAATGATGCCAATTAATACTCCCAAATTTTTCCCTTCAGATTTTTTCTTCTCGTCGTGGGGTTCTACACAATAAGTTTCTGGATGCTGATGACTAAGATCAATCGACAGGCAATTACCTCCGTACTTTATACCTCTAGTTTTTATCACAGAGCTCAAACAGGAAGGCAATAGACCTCTCAATTTATTGTTAGAAATATCGACTGATCCAAGCTTAGCGCCACAATTCAATCGCACAGGAAGCGACCCACTCAACATATTTGACGCCAAGTTTAAAGAAATTATATTGGGCAACGAAAAAAGTCCTGCAGGAGGTGTCCCTTCAAGGACATTGAAAGAAAGGTCAATTTGCTGAAGTTGATTCAGTTGACCATATTGCTGAGGAATTCTCCCAGAAAAGGAGTTGTTGTTTAGCAGAATTGTTTTCAGTCCTTTCGGCATAATTGGAAGTTCAGAGTCAAACTTGTTTTTGCTTAAATCCAGCCATTGTAGGCTCAATAAGGTACTAAGATCCGGTAACATCCCAGAAATTGCATTGTTTGACAAAACAAGAGCTGTTAAAGTGGTAATCCTTTGTATCGAAGATGGCAATGAGCCACTCAAAAGATTGTTCCTCAAACTTAAACTAGTAAAATTTGAAAACGAATCAAACCAATCAGGAAAGGTTCCATTCAAGAAATTCCCGTCCAATTTAAGAATCTGAAGTTGGCCAATTCTTGAAAGTGTTTGAGGAATAGAACCATATAGAAAATTCCAACTCAAATCCAAGTATTCAAGTGATTGTAATCTATGAATTTTATCAGGGATTGAACCCCAAATGCCTAATGATACCAAACTAAGGGACTTCAATCCATTTAGCCTAGAAAGGGTAGCTGCAAGAGAATCCATGGAGAAATTTGGTGACAACGTTCCATCCAAAACTCGAAATCCATTAAAATTACTAACCCTTTTTCGCTTATCACCAAAGATTATGATCCCAATAACCAAATTGTTTTGACAAGTTATGTTCACCTGAGGGGTTGACAAATAACAGAAATCTGTGCTAGTGTTGAGCCATAAATCTAACTGTTTTGGGTACTCTAATTGCCTCCTTAGCTGCGAAAGTACTTGGGTTTGGGAGGATTGTAGTTCATAGGTTCCCAAAACCAAGAAACTCAATGAAAAACAGAGAAATGTAAAGACTCTTGAGCATTCCATGGACTTAATAAGTAAATAACTTCATTAAAAACTGCAAATTCTGAAAAAGTCCCAAAAAAAAAAAAAATAAATTGTAGTGCAAGGTTGTTCAATAAGCTGATTCAAGATCCATCTCATCAAGAAAATATCATAAAAAATACAGAACTTGATGAAAATGACATTTCTAACATCCCACAAAAATATGAAAAGAAAGTTACAGTTTCTTCAAGAGAAGCACGTAACTTACATTAAAAATGACACATTCTAAAAACGCCCCCAAAAAAAATGGGATACTACAGACGGAAACATATTGTAGTCCAAGGTTGTTCAAAAAGCTGATTCAAGATCCGCATCATCAAGAAAATATCAAGAAGGGTACAAAGCTTGGTGGAATTGACCCACAAAAAATGAGCTACAGATTTAAACAAAGATCAAGAGAAGTACAGAACTTGGCGAATATGACGATTGACAGAAGTGGGCTGCCCAGAAAGATGGTTCAAGGAAAACATCAACAGAAGCTGGAACAAGAGCAAAGCTGAACAAAATAAGTGAAATGAAGCAATTACAAAGCGGGGAATAAGGTTGTGTTTTGGTTGTAGAATCTTAAAAAATGTGAATTCAGACTCTCAGAGCGCTTGAAGAATTTAATATTAGTGGGGTATGTATCCTTTTCTTGAAAATTGAGAAATATTGATACAATAATGGAGTGAGTGTCGAGTGCATCTTCAGAGGACAAGTTGGAGGTTGATAGTAAATCATTATATACTGCATTGCCATGTTTGCTTTAGCGGTGAGGACTGTTAACTGAAGAGTGAAATACTGAAATGTAAGAGAATCCATGCCAACTGACATTATTAATAGAATAATGTTAAGTGTACACAATTTTTTACACAATTTTTTACACATCTCTCACATGGAAGGGGGCCCACACATAATAAAATAATCGTGGACCCCCCTTCATGTGAGAGAGGTGTAAAAGATTGTGTAAAAGTGTGTGTGTACATGTAGCATTACCCATAATTTACACATCTCTCACATGGAAGGGGGCCCACACATAATAAAATAATCGTGGACCCCCCTCCATGTGAGAGAGGTGTAAAAGATTGTGTAAAAGTGTGTGTGTACATGTAGCATTACCCTTATTAATATGGAAAATGGTGATTATATTCTGTCATATTTTTTTTATAAATACATATTTCCATTAAATCAAAATTATTAATTTCTATTTATTATCAATTTTATATATTTTTTTTAATCATAATTTTATTTTTAACATTTTATTGATCAGAAAACCTTGTCCTTAAACATGATTTTTGTTCAAAAATATCACGTGATTTAAAATGAGATTCAAATATTTAATCATAAATTTATGTTGTTATTTGTTTTGCTTATTTAAAAATACAATAGGCAAATTAATTTTTTTATTCTATCTTTAAAAAAATTGAAAAGAAATCATAATCAATATCACTTTATGTTAATTTTAGAATAAGAATACGATGAAAAAAATTCGAGACATACATGTAATAATATGTAAAAATTAATATTAAAAGGTTGTGGTGTGAATATTTTAGCCTATGAAAAATGATCAAATTTTTGTATTACAAAATTGGGCATAAAGAATGTGGCACAAAAAAATTTAGGTATTAGTTTTAAATCTTTGGTCTGTGTAGCAAGTTAGTCCTTGATATTTAAAAAGGAAAAAATTTTAAATTTAAGTGCAAAATATTTTATTATGTGAATGTATATTTAAAAATGAGTATACGAGAAAAAAAGTTTCAAATAATGATGGGCGGTAATGTTACCATTCTTGGATCAAGAAGGAAGTATGTCGAGAGGAATATTTTCTTTATAAAATTAACTGATTGCTTATGCAATTATAATAAATAAAGAAACTAATCAATAATTTGGACAATATTGAAGCCGCCAAGAATGGTTAGGTCACTAAAAAGCAAAATCCTGCACTCCAATTGATTATCCCAAATAAAAGAGTTAGGCTCCGTTTGATTGGCGGAGTTTTTCAGGGAAGTAGAAAAATATTTTCCTACTTTCACTTTTTTAACTGTTTGATATGC